TTAAGCATTTTGAAGTGAGCCAAATACAGTCATCCCTCAGAATCCATGGGGGATTTGTTCCAGGACCCCTTGGATATCCAAATCCGCAGGGTGCTCAAGTTCTTTATACAAAATGGTGTAGCATTTGCACACAACATTGGAACATACTCCCAGATACTTTAACCCATCTCTGTAAACTGGAAATTAGGCAGAGAAGATTACTTATGATACATAATACAATGTAAATGCTATGTATATAGTTGCAGAAACAATGTAAATGCTGTGTGAATAGTTGCCAGTGCATGGCAAATTCAAGTTTTGCTTTCTGGAATTTTTTTTCCCCCAGTATTTTTGATCCATGGTTGGCTGAATCTGTGGAGGCAGAACCTGTGAATATGGAGGACCAACTGTACTATTGATTCATTTTAGAATGTATATTTTTGAAATTTTAAATATTTAATACAAGTAAAAGGGATGCGTGGTGACAAAGTCCTCTCTGCCCACAGGCCTTCACCCCTCTACCCAGAGACACCCACTGGGAAACATTTCTCTGTATCCTCCCAAGTGTACAAGCACAAAGATACACTTCATTCTGCTTTTTACAAAAACTGTAGCATGTGTTATATTGTGTTCTACTGCTCTTTGTTGTTTTCAAATAAAAGTCTAGCTGAGGCTATTTTGGAGATGCACTACCGTGTTCTTTCAAATTTATTTATATTTATTTTTGGCTGCATTGGGTCTACGTTGCTGCGCGTGGGCTTTCTCTAGCTGCGGCGAGTGGGGGGCCACTTCATTGCAGTGCGTGGGCTTCTCATTGCCATGGCTTCTCTTGTTGCAGAGCACAGGCTCTAGGCTCACGGACTTCAGTAGTTGTGGCACGCAGGCTCAGTAGTTGTGGGGGGGGGGGGGCCCAGGTTCGATCCCTGGTCTGGGAACTAGATCCCCCATGCATGCTGCAACTGAGTTCGCATGCTGCAACTAAGAAGTCCCCATGCTTCAACTAAGATCCCGAGTGCTGCAACTAAGACCCGGCACAGCCAAAATAAATAAATAAATAATTAATTAATTAAAAAAATAATTCTGACACATATGTATCTTAAGCATATTATTTTTCCTTAGAAAAGACTCTCCGATTTGTCTATTGTTTTCTTGAAAGGCCGTGTCTCCTTCATGTCTGAGTTGCCTTTCATATAATGCAGAATACTACCTACCTTCTGCCAGATGTTTTATAGCTGCCTCAGCAACTCATTTAATTTCTTCCCACTGCGCCACCAGGGAAGTCCCTACTTTGTTCTTTTAACAGCTGCATCCTATCTCATTACGTCAGTGATTTTTAGCCAGGAGGCACTTTGGAAATCTGTGGGCCTCTGACAGTGGATGGGGGCAATGCTGGACATGTTATAATGCCTGAGACTGCTCCACTGACTTCCAAATGTCTGGCCAGATGTTAGTGTATATGAAAAACTCATTTATAATTATGTAAGTCTAAACTCCATTTTACATATTAACACGAAGGGTTTGGTTTTGGGTTGCTGAAAAATCTGAATATCCCTGGCACTTCCGAGGCCTCCAACTGCTGTGTAATGGAAGGGAAGCATGAACTTCAGAAGGGCTTAAAGGCTACTGGAATCATGTCAAAGAGCCACAGAGGTCAACTTAGAGGGGCTTGTACTAGCCAAATTTGGGATGATTTGAGCATCAAAAACCATGAGTGCAGGGACTTCCCTGGTGGTCCAGTGGTTAAGACTACGAGCTCCCAATGCAGGGGGCCGGGGTTCGATCCCTGGTCAGGGAGGTAGATCCCACATGCCGCAACTAAGACCCAGCACAGCCAAATAAATAAATATAAAAAATAATCAGTGCAATTGTTTGTAACACGTTTAATGAAAATCCGTGAGTCCACAGTGGTAGGAGGCGGGAGAGAGAGAGTAGAAGATTACTCAATTTTTCGCAACTACAGAATAATTGACTCAGGAGAATTCCCTGGTGGTCCAGTGGTTAGGACTCCTCACTCACGGGTTCAGTCCTGATCAGGGAACTTGGATCCTGTAAGCCACGTGGCATGGCCAAAATAATTTTTTAAAAATTGATTCAGGTGAAGATCATTAACTGATGCTAAAAGAAAACAATCAGGTGAAAGGTCTGGGAGCAGGGTCTTCACACAGGGGCAAAGTATCATCCCACAGGTTACCTACTCAGCAGAAAGAATACAAAGTACCTTTCCAGTGGAGCAGTCTGACCTCCTGTTGAGTCAGTCTGAGATCATATGCTATCTGACAAGAGGCAGGATTAAGTGCATATAGCATCACCTACAACGCCTTCCTGCATAAAATGTTGAACGTGTGTCCATTCAAGCTTCTCTGCCTAATTTCCAGTTTACAGAAAATACAAGAGCCAGAGGAACAAGCAAGTAACATGAAATGGAGACCTTAGGCAGCTCCAAAATCAGGGACATTCGACGAAGTCAATGCCCTGGACTGTTTAAAAAAAAAAAAAAAAAACAAGAGGCCAAGACCACACAGTGTAGGACTCAATTTATATGAAATGTCCAGAAAAGGTAAATCTAGAGACAGAAAGCCAACTTGTAGTTGCCAGGGACTGGGAAAGTAGGAGGGACTGCAAATGGGCACAGGGTCTTCCTGGTGTGGTGGATTATGGTGATGGTTGCACGACTCAGTAAATTCACTAAAATTATTGTACTCTTAAAATGGGTGAATTTTATGGTGTATAAATTATCTCAATAGGCCTTTTTTTTTTAACATTAATTACAATATGTTAAAAAGTGGAAGGACTGGGCTTCCCTGGTGGCGCAGTGCTTGAGAGTCCGCCTGCCGATGCAGGAGACGCGGGTTCGTGCCCCGTTTCGGGAAGATCCCACATGCCGCGGAGCGGCTGGGCCCGTGAGCCATGGCCACTGAGCCTGCGCGTCCGGAGCCTGTGCTCCGCAAATGGGAGAGGCCACAACAGTGAGAGGCCCGCATAACGCAAGGAAAAAAAAAAAAAAAAAAGTGGAAGGACTGTTCTAGATTGAGACAAGAGACCTAACAATCAAATAGTGTGAACCTAGGTTGGATCCTTGGGGGCAGTGGGGTGTGTGTGTGTGGGCGGGAGAGAGCGTTATTAAATACATTGATTGTATGTAAATTACACCTTAATAAAGCTGATTTTAAAAACACCTCTAGGGACTTCCCTGGTGGCGCAGTGGTTAAGAATCCACCTGCCAATGCAGGGTGCCACGGATCCGAGCCCTGGGCCGGTAAGATCCCACGTGCCGCGGAGCAACTAAGCCTGTGCACCACAACTACCGAGCCTGCGTTCTAGAGCCCGCGAGCCACAACTACTGAAGCCCGCGCAAGTAGAGCCCGTGCTCCACAACAAAAGAAGCCACCGCGGGCTTCCCTGGTGGTGCAGTGGTTGAGAGTCCGCCTGCCGATGCAGGGGACGCGGGTTCGTGTCCCAGTCTGGGAAGATCCCACATGTCGCAGAGCGGCTGGGCCCGTGAGCCATGGCCGCTGAGCCTGCGCGTCCGGAGCCTGTGCTCCGCAACGGGAGAGGCCACAACACTGAGAAGCCCGCATACCGCAAAAAAAAAAAAAAAAAAGAAGCCACCGCAATGAGAAGTCTGTGCACACCGCCAGAAAGACCCAACGCAGCCAAAAATAAAACCACCTCCAGAACCAGTGGGGGAAATCTGAATAAGGACCATACACTGCAGGTTGTATGGATTTTGCTTATTTTCTGAAGTGTGCTAAAGCAACTGGGTGAGCCCTACCTTATTGGATGCACGGCTGGCCGACTTCTCTGGAAGCAGCAGCTCTTGTGCTCAGGGAAGCCGAGGCCACACTGTAATCGATTCTGCTCACCTTGCCTTGTCCTGGAGGCCTTCAAAACATAGCAGCCACTTACCCTTTCAAAACTAACCAGTATGGGGCTTCCCTGGTGCCACAGTGGTTGAGAGCCCGCCTGCCAATGCAGGGGAGACGGGTTCATGCCCCGGTCTGGGAGAATCCCACGACACAGAGCGGCTGGGCCCGTGAGCCACGGCCGCTGAGCCTGCACATCTGGAGCCTGTGCTCCGCAACAGAAGCCACAGCAGTGAGGCCCTCGTACTGCAAAAACAAAAACAAAACAAACCCTAAACATTCCGTTTTTAGGGACACACATATGTGGTAGATTGATAAAACACAAAACCAGGGTGACCTCAAAATGAGAAATCATGGGCCCCTGGTGAGGGATGAAGAGTATGCAACTAAGGAGGACTCCCAAGGGGAGTTCTTGATCTTAAAGGAAACCATGTTCATAAACATAAACCAGATTATGGCTCAGATTACCAGGTCTGCACAACGGAATGAGTAGACCTCAAATGACCATGAAGCCTCTACAACTAGCCAGGGAGAAGTTCCCTATAGTTACCTGGTCACCAGTTGGTCTGGGGCAAGGCAGAGCCAGATGCCTTCTGCAAGTAGACTGCACCACACCAGGTCTGCCAGCCTTTCTCTAGCAGACTGAACTTCACAATTGAGCTGTCATAAACCCTGTACTCTGCATTTACATTCTCAAACAGCTAGATATCCCAAGAACAGGTTCCAAAGACCCTTCCCCACAGAGGCTAAAGCTTGACATATTTCCCTCAAGGAAGGCCACCACAGAATATGCTCAAATTAAGCTTTGTTAAAATTAGCTGATGATTTTCAACTTGCTATAGTAATTTTGATGGATAACCCTTAATGTGCCCAAGTGAGAATTTTCCACCGTCACCCTTAAAGGAGTACTGCTCCAACATGGTCACAATCTTGAAGTTCCACCTTGTTTTTTCCCCCGCCCGAGCCTACATCTTCAGTATTCCACTCGCAGCTTGCCCTTGGGATACTCAATCAGCAAAACTTAATTCTTGGATCAGGGAAGCAAAAAAACAAGATACTCTTTTAAACAAACACAGCAACTGTTGTCTTAGAAGTAACGTGTTGCTGCTTAAAATGAAATCTCCATCAATACCCTAACCCAAACAAGGACAGACAACGGTTGTTTAGTCTTTATTTCATAACCATAAACTTAACTTTGCAATTCAGCTAAACTTGGAAGGGAATAAGGAACATTTGGAACCCAAAGAAGTGCAATGAGAGCACAAAGATTATAGTATATTTTGAGCAGATGGGGATGAAGGGGTGCTCTCCTGAGCTACAGAAGGAATGGTCTGGTGGTTAAGATAAAACACAAGTCAAATTTATTATTAGATTTGTCCACAGTCAGCAATGGTGATCTTCTTGCTGGTCTTGCCATTCCTGGAACCAAAGCGCTCCATGGCTTCCACAATATTCATGCCCTCTTTCACCTTGCCAAAGACCACATGCTTGCCATCCAACCTGGAAACAGAAGAATAAACATTACTACCTGCGACCTGCATGTAGTAATGAAATAGGAGAGAAATAAGCAGCCTGCATTGTGCATTGAGATAAGAACAGAGTCCCACATATCAACAGAGCATACCCAAGCAAGAGAAGACCAGAAGAGTGGTTTATCCAGCTTTTAGCACTAGCTAACGCCGACTAGTTAAATACTGGAAACATTTTATCCTTTTACCTAAAAAAAAAAAAGTGTCAACACCAGATTACTTTAAGCCAGTATAAAAAAGGTGGTCTCCAAGAGTCTCTAATCACTGTTAAGAATCCTAATTTTAGAACGGACCCCTAAAAAAGAGCCAACAAATCACATGCTAATTAGATGAAAGCACCACTCTTAAATTCAACTACTCAACAAAGTGCCCTGTTTTGCTATTAAGAGTATCTCACTTTCTATAGCGCACTATCTAAATTTGTGACTATTCATGCCCTTCTACTACTTTAGAGCAGGAAACAGCAGGGAAAGGTGGCCTTTCCTATGTTCTGCTCTTACCACTCAGTCTTGGCAGTGCAGATGAAAAACTGGGAACCGTTTGTGTTGGGGCCAGCATTTGCCATGGACAAGATGCCAGGACCCGTATGCTTCAGGAGGAAATTCTCATCATCAAATTTCTCCCCATAAATGGACTTGCCACCAGTGCCATTATGGCGTGTGAAGTCACCACCCTGTGAACATAAAAAAGAGGAACCTGTCACTTTTGGCAATACAGTTGGAAAACATGCCAAGTCTGCAAGGTTCAAACTTTAAAACTCAAGTTTAAACTAATTAAAAGGGTCAAGTGGAACCAAAATGGGAGAATTAACATTTTAGTTCATATATGCGCTTTAAAAAAAAGAACATGTTTATTACAGACCACGGCAATTTAGACGGCATGGTATCAGTGCAAAATTGTCAAATAGACAAATATAACAGAAAACAAACTATAAAAGTAGACTGGCACCAATGCAGACAGACCATATGTGCACATTCTCAAGTGTTCTGGCTCAATCCCAAATTAAGAGAACCCAAATCAGTATCAGTAAATTTCATACCTGGCACATAAATCCCGGAATTATTCTGTGAAAGCAGGAACCTTTATAACCAAAGCCTTTCTCCCCAGTGCTCAGAGCACGGAAGTTTTCTGTTAAAATAAAGTGTATATGTATATAGATGCAACAGTTAAAATCAGAATATCTTTGTTAAACGTTTAAAAAGTAAATAAAACTAACCTGCTGTCTTTGGAACTTTGTCTGCAAACAGCTGTAAGAGAAAATGACAGTTAATGAAAAACATCTGCTTACATATTTTGTTGCTTAGTACCCTTGTCTTTAGGGGCCTCTGAATCATAAATTCATTTTCTCACTAGAAGAGAATGCTTCTTCAGTAATTACTTTGAATCCCAAATAAGAACGGCTCCTGACAGCCTTAAGGTCCTGCAGGGTTGGGTTAGCAACATGACACCCAAAGACATGCCAAAACTCCAGAACCAGGAATGACTCAGATAGTGTGAGGCTTCTAAAAAGTGACTTAAAACTTTTATGTGTATCACACCTACTTCTAAACAGATATATGGTCTCTCAAAGGTACATCACCTCCCCCAACTTCAACTTGAACCTAAAGACAAGAACTTTCAAGAATATCAAGTACTCCTGCACGATCAGGGAGTAAATAGCTGTAATTTTAGTCACTGGTAATGAAAATGCTACTACCTCCAATCTGTTAACATAGCTTTATGGATTGGATGAGCAGTCACTTCTTGGTTTCCAGGTCCCTTACCTAGTAGTGGGGTAAAAAATAAAGATTGGTTTCTAGTACAACTGCTTCGAACCTTTCCTGCATATATCAAACATTTTGGCTAAAAAAGCTTAAATACCATAGAAAACGCAAGCCCTTGCATAAAAGACAGTTTAAAGTACTTAATGAACTATTATTCCACAGATCTGTGACTTAAAGCATCTGCTGAAATCCCTGGGTGTTTCTTAGAAGACTTGCTATTTAGCTTCTAAGTACTGTATATAAAACATACGGTCTCTTTCAAGTATTAACGTGTCTCCAACCCTTTTACTAACTCGTTTCCCTTTTAGACGCTTACTAAAGTTAAAGCTGGCAGTGGCAGTTCCACCTCCATTCTCACCAAGGGATCTGTCAGAGCGCCTATCTCATTTCCATTAAGCCCTCTGGCTAACCTGAGACACACAAGCTACAAAGGGTTAGGCTCAGGCCAAGTTTCCACGTGGCCCCTGGCCAATTATCAGCTGACTTCAGATAAAGGTGGAGTATACATCTACTGGATGTAATATTTCTCTAGAGTTTTCACGTCAGGGCAAGTTCCCACATGGGCCCTTATCAATTCTTAGCTCTGACTACAGTGAGAGTGGGCTACAGACTGATCTGCATGGGGGGCTATCTGAGTTTGGACTGAGATCCTACAACCTGATCACTGGCGGCTCTTTGAGAAGTGGTAAAAGAGGATAAAACCACTTAGGGCTACACCCCAAGACCTACCATGCTGGGTTAACTGGAACGGAATTCCATTTACCGTTTGAAGAGCCCGCCGAGTTACTTAGCTACCCTGCTGTGATTACTGATTAAGAAGTACCCATAACACGCCTGAACTAATTAGGAAACCAGCGGAGAAGGCCTGCCGCGCTGCCGGTCTCGACTAGCCCGTTCCGGGAAGGGCCCGGGCGCCTCCCCCCCGCCACCACCGCAGCGGAAGGCGGGCCTCGGCGCCAGCGGAGGGAAGGCGGCCGGCACATTTCCGCTCGGGGTGGGGGCGGGGAGGGGCCTCTTTCTACATCAACCTCGCGATTTTAAAACACCCGGGGAAGCCCTCGAGCCGGCCGACCCCGCACCCTTATAACCCAACCCTGAACTAACAAGCGTCCTTTCGGGACAAGGGGAAGGGCTGGTATCCCCACCGGCCCTGGCGCGCCCGGCGCGGGAAAAGGCAGCCTTCAGGTGCGGCGTCGGCTCGAAGGAAGCGGCTTCCGAGTCCTCGAGGGCGGCCCCGGGAAGGTCGCGACTGCCCAGGGCCGGCGCCCGCCTTCCGTCTGGGTCGTTGCCGACCCTCAGGGCCCCGCGGTCCCACGCGCCGGCCAACGGCTCGCGGCCCGAGCACGTGCGCGGCCGGAAGGGCGCGGCCGCGCCTCCCCCACCCGCCCCGCCTTTGTCTGCCCGCCGCCCCCGGCCTCCCAAAATGGCCCCTCGTCAGGAAATGGCGCCGCGCCGCGCCGCCCGCGTTCCTCAGGCGGGGCGCCCGCACCCAGCCCCTCGGCCTTCCCGGACCCCGCCGCCCGCTCAGGCCCACCCGGCGCGCCGCCGCCCGCCCCAACCTCGAAGGAGACGCGGCCCAAGGGCTCGCCGTCGACGGCGATGTCAAAGAACACGGTAGGATTGACCATGGTTGAGCTGCGCGGGAAGTTCCGATGTGGCGGCGTCTGTAAAGCAGCACGAGCCCCACCGCCCGCCTCTTTTATAGCCGGTTCAGGCCCCGCCCGTGGCCGGTCGCGCGCCTCATCTCTGGCCAATCGCGACCGCGGGTCAGTCGAAGTGACGGTGTGCCTGGGCCTATGGGTGGAGATGGCGCCGGAGAGGCGGGACGGGAGACGCGCGTGCGCGCTGGCAGATGCAGGCAGGTTCCCGCCCGCCGCCTCGGTCTCCGCGCTGCGGTGTGGGGTCGCGGATAGGCCACCGGGTTGGGGACGGGGCTTGGAGACCGCCCTGCTGGGCCGGTTGGGTCGGTGGGAGCCCGAGAGACACGCAGCTGCTTGGGCCCGCGGGCAGGGCGGCCTCCCACCGC